TTACAGCGGCGAATCCGACCCCAGCCAGAGCCGATAAGGTGTTCAGCACTGTTATGGAAGTGAACCAAATGTGGCCCACCATGCAGATCACGAGAGTCGTCAAGCACCCCATGTAATTCCACTTAAGCCCGACTTTCCCCACAATCCATTCCTGGGCAAATGTGGAATACATGAAACCTGTAGAAAGAAACAAGAAGTGTAAATTAATCGAGGAAAAAATGCTGAGTCAATAACTCAGTCACTATTTCTTTATTTTTTTCTGAAAAAAAGAAGAAAGTCCTATTTCCATTATTTTTTATTTTTTAGTTTTTTCATTCCTTTTTCTTTTGGATTTGCTATCAAGACCATCACGTCAATGTCATCATCATGAAATCAATTTTGTGAGAGAGAAAGGAAAAAAAATCTGGTACTATAGTATCCATGCACATTTCTAACTTACTATAAGAAGTTGACATAGGGGAACGGATTTGTATCCCATATTTCGCAAATATTGCTAATCCTCAATCAAATATTGCTAATACCAGCCGCATTAAGGATATTGTCTCAAAATGAATTCCGTGCCCCGGAAGTTTCTCGAATGATGCAAATCACTTTTACGAACAACCACTCACAAAACGTTGGATCATAGACTTCAGACTTGAAACTGGCATTTTATTGTCACATCAAACTCACCCACGATGCTGAAGAAACAAAGACCCCACGAGCCCATTCGAGCACCTTCGTCGTACCCGGATGCCTCCTCGGAACCCACGTCGGCATCTGGCGCACCTTTATAAATGGCTTGTGCCACGAAATCGGTGTAGAAAATCCCGTGACCCATGAGGCATGTCCACGAAGCCAGGTCAGCCAAGAAAAGTCTCCTCAGTGCTTCCGGACTGCTGCGGTACATCTTGACAAACTGGAACGGCCATCGAACAACCTTCGCCCACGTAAAAAGGAAAAATAAGTATATTGATGAAAACTGATGGATACATGTAGCTTCTGCAGGAATCTTTTGCATTCAAGCACGGGAAATGTAGTGTATTTCTCCCCAGAGAAAAAGATGTGAAGTTGAAGATGAGAAATAAAGAGATTTTTTTTCACTGCATCAGGACATCTAAAAAAAAGCTTTGATTCAGAAAATGATAACTCCACGCATACATCAGGTGCAGAAGCTTGCATGTGTTTCTTCTTTTTTTTCGGTATTCTTCAGCGAACCAAGCATGCAATCAAGACCAAAAAAAGCTTTGATTCAAATTTCTAATTTTAATTTTCATGCCATTCCTCAGGAGCATGCTGACCTAGGTCCCGGAACCATTTAAAATACTGTAAAGTAATAATTCAAGGCCCATGCATGTAAGCGATTTTTCATGACTGCAGAATTTTTGCGGGCACTACTGTATATAGTTAGAAAGATGCGTAAATTTTGCGGTTCATAAAAAATAATCAGCCTTGATATTTCACCCACTTTTTGAGAAGGGTTGAATACTTTTAATTGAGTTTCGTTTTATTTTGGTTGTTTTGTTTTACAATGCATTCGGCCCGGATTCAAGTTTAAAATTTCTTCTGAATACTCTTCGTACTTAATTAGTCACCCATGAGTATTACGAATTATTCAATATCCAATTTGATGATTTTATTTAAAACACTAGAATACAATCTCAATCCACATCAAGAAAACCATATTTGGTGTGTTCTTTTGTTCAGAACTTTCTGAACATTACAAAAGAAACAAAAATAATTCATTCAACTGTCTTCTTCCCCTTTGGAACTTAGATCAATGGACTGAAGTTCGATTTGAGGTCTCGTATGAAGTCCTGATCTCGCTATGGTTGGTGATTTTGTGTCAGATTTTTTTTTTAGCGTCTGTTCAGTGGTAAAATCATTCATTCAGGCATGATGTGACATACAAAGAATAGACAGGATGAGCTGAAGGTCAAGACAAGTAGCTCTGCGATGCACAGAATACCTCGAACGCATTGCTGTCCAAGTCAGATAAAATCTGATGCTCAAGCATCCGCTCTCTGAAAGTTTCATTGCATCTCTGTTAGGATCAATTCTTCATCGTAGAATAAACTCAGAAATCTCGTTGACACTATTAAAATAATTGAATACGCATTGATGCTGATCAGAAACTGGAAAAACTGCTATGAAAACTATTCCAACTTGGGTGATAAGCCGTATGTCGTGGTTGTCCATAATCAACCTCGAAAAAATGTATCCACTTTCTTTCGTTCTAAAAATAATAAAACAAATTTAATCTTGATAAAAGCATCATATGTTTTTTTTCGATTGATACGTTGCATACAAGACCTTTTCATTGATTGTGCTGTACTTGATTCCATTAAAATAATCGAAAGATTCCTCATGAATTCCGCACTGACTATTAAAACTTTCGTTTGCAGCATTAATGGAAAATCCCACTAGATATACAGCGGTCCAAAATCCGCACAAGTTTTTTTTTTTTCATAGTTTGAAGAAATGCGTCAGAAAGTAAAGTGCCATATTCAGTTCGGTTTCATGGAATTCTTCAAATATTGATGCTCTTCCCACTTTCAAAAATGTATTCAATTAGATAATTCAATTAGATGTATTCAATTAGATAATTGAATAAGTTTAACCTTTTATCACGTAATAATGATGTGCTTTTCTCCTTCGCGAGATCCTCCGATACGCGATTTACCAAATAATCAATCAATAATTATCGAAACAAAGTTTTTCATGCGGGTCAAAGGCATAACTTCTAAGAGCATATACATAGCTGTTTGAAAATTCGAGTATATTGTGCATTGAAAGACCAAATGTCAAATCAGCATAAAATAAGAGTGAATAAAAATCAGATATGAAACTAGATAGCGCACGAAAATCTAGCTTTACAGTTCTACTGAGAAATATGGTTTGTTTCAGGTTAAAATTGGTTCATAAGAGGCTCGATTCAATGACTCAAAAGTAAGTTCAACAATCAGAGAATCACCTAATAACCACAGAGAATCACGAAGTATTAATTTCCATTTTAAACATAGCATAGGGAATAGTGATTAAAGTTTTTCAGAAAATTATCAAAGCAACCGTTGTTGTCAATTGCATGAGCATCAGAGTTATACATTTTTAGAGCATGTAGCTGTTTCAAAATTATAATTTTACAATTTTCATGAGTTTCACATTGCAGTGTTCCTAAACATGTTCTGGGATCTAGGACAAATCCAGACAGACAATTTGAGACTGGGCCAATTTGAGACAAGGCCAATTTAAGACTAGGCCAATTTGAGACAGTGTCAAATTGAGACAGATACTTTTGGAGGCAGGGACAATTTGAGGCAGAAACTTTTTGAGACACGGACAAATCAAGACAAATAAATTTTGAAAATTTGCGACATTTTGAGACAGAGACTGTCTGGGGCAAAATGACTTGACTATGTTTTTCCCCGAAATCTTACATTTAAGGTGTGAAAATAAAAAAAAATTGTACAATTTGTTGAAAAGTTCTGCTTAGTTTGTTTCGCATAAGACAATTTTACATGGAGACACTTCCTAGTCCAGAAAAAATAGACTGAAATGTCCAGCATGTGGAAACTGACTCAAGGTGCAGACCGTGCATTCCAAAAATTTCAGTATAAAAACAGCATTTATCAGGAAGAATGACAAGAAACAGCAGCTTATGAGTTATGTAATATTTTTCACTTCAAATTAGTTTCATGAAATGCTGTTCAACAGGAATCTGCAGTTGCTTTATAGTGCTGTCTCAATTTATCCCGATTTCATATTGTCCCTGTCTCAAATTGTCCTTTTGTCGAATTTTCCCACTCTCAAATCGCCCCTGTCTTGAATTGGCCCTGTCTCAAATTTTCTTTCTCCATTTGTCCAGTCACAAATTTTATGTAGTCTCAATTTGGCCATTTGTTTCACATTGCAATAATAAGGATGAAATAATAATAATTTAATCCAAAAAGTGAGGTACAAATCTGAATATTTATGAATAATCAGCACTTTGGAAAAGTTTGGCCAGAAGTTTATTTCCAATTTTTTTTAACCTGACCAAGTTAAGCGAAATTCCCTATCAAAAACTCTCCAAGTGAAGATTTTCGAGCTATCCTTCAAATTTAATTTCTCGAAATATTGATTTCCATTTTAAACTTTGCCTATAGGAATAGTGATTATACTTCTTCAGAAAAAATATCAAAATAAAGGTCAACATTTTGCATGCACGTCAAAGTCATACATTTCAAGAGCATCCCGCTGTCTCAGAATTTGACCTTTTAACAATTTTTTTATTTTACATTTTGTTGGGTACTTTCCTGTTATCTCAGTACCTACTTTCCATGCACCTACCAGAAACTGTGAATTTTATTTTTCTGCATTCTGCTGAAACTGGTTTTGGGAGGTGGTTAGGTCAAGTTAGGTTAGGTCAGGTTATGTTAGTTACAAATATCTTTCAATTAACATAACCTGACCTAACCAAACCTAATATTGAATATTGAATTCACGAGACAAAGAAAAATGGGTATTGACTATTGAGATACCAGGAAAGTACTTTTTGTTGTTCCTAACCGATCTTCTTTTTTTTCTTCCATATTGCAAGTGAGAAACAAAATGGTTGGTTCAATGAGAAAGTGGCGCATCAGAATACCTCTAGAAGCAATGTGAGCAAGCCGGCAAGCAGGCACAGCGCGAGCCCGAGCACCCCGCCGCGTCTGGCGCGGTGCATCAGCGCCCTACCAACCATCACCGGTATCCGACACACGGCGCACACGCCGCTCACCGCCCAACGCCGCGCCACGTCCACTGCCCGCTCCCGCTCCCTCTCTCGGTCTTTGGACCGCAGCGGCACTTCCTGCGCCGCCGCCAGCGTCACGACCAGACACAGGGCGCTGCAGGCAAACAGGAGGCAGAAGATGAGCGTGGACACGTCGACGCCGCAGGCAACTGCGAAGGCTGTCCAGTCGACCGCCGTCGTGAGAGTGCCGAGACAGGCGCCGAGGCTGAGCATGGCCGAGTAGACGACGAAGCCGCGTTCCACGTTGGAGTCGTCCTTCATGACGTCCGTGAGCAGGGCCTCGCAGGGATTGAAGCAGGCCTGGGACGCATAGTCCAACAGCACCACGCCGACCGCGAGCACCACGGTTCTTTAAAAGTAAAAAATTATATATAATAAAAATCGCGACAATTATTTATTTTTATTTCCTGTTTAAAATGTAGGCGAACCTCTTTTCGTCGAACTTCAAGGGACTCTTAAAAACCAATACATCGCAATTTAAAAAATATTGTACAAATAAAGACTGTCTGAAATTTTAATTTTGTGCCGCCCTTTTGAAAAATCCAGGTACTGTACATTACTATAATTATTTGTGAGCTACGCTTTTCGAACGCCTGACGAACATATAATTCCTGTTGAGTGACTTCACGTGCTGATTAGAATAAGCAAGCAGGGGACTTGAGAAGGTTTCGACTTTGGGATACAAGCATTTATTTTGGTGAAAAGAAGGAAAAATTATAGGAAATTGAGATTTGTGATAAAGTATGCCTCAAATTGCTTCTTAAATGAGTCGACAGGATCATGAACTTGGAGACGAGGGTTCAATCGCCCAATTAGTCTCTCATTTTCTTTCAAAACAAATCAAATTAAATTTTTACTGCTATTATCTTTCCTTTGTCAATAAAATGATAGCTGAAAAAAACAACAAAGATGACATAATTTACTTCTTGGGAACATTAGCAAGCCATAATTTATGCATCCCAGGGTATTTTGATTTAATTCTTGAATAATGGACGTTTAATTTGCTATTCTACCCATTTTTAATATTCTTTGAGTTTTTCTTGTCAAACCACGACGAACCCCATGAAACCGCCGCAAACCTCACAAAGAAATGGTGGCGACTTACTAAGGTGTGCCTGTATTTTATTTTAGAGAGCACGCACACATTCGATTAGTTGCACTGTTGTATGCGTCATTCATCCGAGACCCCAAAAATGTATTAATTAATTACTTGTCTTAATTACAACCTGAACGACCTTGTTATACAATTTATTTACAGGTCAAAAGGCGAGTGGAAATGGAACGGATATTGTTATTCCCTGAATGAGCTAAAATCGCAGGGGGGGAATTTTGAATGTGTCAGCTGATGGGAATGGTGAAGTGCAATAATTAATTGCGCCGTTTTTACGAAGGAAAAGTTTTTTCTAAATCACCTGAAAATCGTATGCTTGAGAGAACATTATTTTCTTCTTCTTTTTTTGTATTCACTTTCTTTCTCTTTTATAATTATTCAATTTGAAACGGACATGTAACGAAAATAATATGGTTTGCATGATAGTCCCTTATTCTCTCAAATATGCCTCGTTAATTACGTCGTTTCTAGAAAAATTAATGCATGAGGAACTGAAAATCGTATGCTTCTATGACGGAAAAATTTATTCTTCCGTTTTGTGATCGCTTCAGATTCCCTTTTTAATTTTTTTTTTATTTCCAGACGGACGAGAAGATAAAGATTGTTGACATGAGAGTCCGTTTTTCTCTTAAATACGCGTCGTTAATCAATTTCTTCATTTTTACCACACAAAAATACGTCGGCCGTCGGCAACTGGAAATCGTATGCTTGGGAGAACAAGTGAACTTTCTTTCTTGGTTTCGCGATCGCTTCAGTTTCCTTTTACTTTGTTCGTTTCGAAATTGGCACAAAAATTTAAATGATTTGCACAAGAGTCCCATATTCTCTCAAGTATGAACTTTGTTTCAGCGCACGTAACGAATTACTGTACCTGAAAGCCTGCGAATTGGACCAATGCCCAGCCGAGGCATCTGAAACTCCCGCCAGCCTCGAAGGATCACCAGGAACGGCACGGAAGTGACCCAAAGGGATCAGCACCAACGAACTCAACATTATCAAATTCAGGAATAAAATAAACGGGCGTCGTCTGCCCCAAGAACATCTCGTCTGGTCCGACCACGATCCGATCCCAGGAACAGTGATCAATGCTATCACAGGTCCTGCAAGAATAATCCCGCATCAGTAAAATCCGCTGTACACGAGGTCTGTTGATTCAACGCCCAGTCTCCAGTAATTTTTTTAGTATACGCTCTCCTAGATGTCGCTCATATAAAGGTGAATTTCCAGCAGAACTTTCATGGACCGCGATATTCTCTGAATACGTGAGAAGTACTAATTATTTTCACTCACGGTGAAAAAGGAACTGAATCCGTTGCAAATTTACGGAATCAACCATTATTACATAGGTGGACTCTCTATACAACCATGTTGTCTACAAAGATGTTCTCTGTATAACGAATTTTTCGCCAGACACAAACAATTTCTGGTTCTCCAGGTTATCCTCGAGTTTATGATTTTTTTTTTAAACGAAGCAATCGAATTTAAAATAGCAGAAAAATGTTGACAGAAATTAATTCACAGATTTTCCGAGGACAAAAGATAATTTCACAATTTGGAATGAATATTAACTTAAATTCATGGCACGGTCATCATCATGACGCAGTAAAATGAAACGAGACGCAAGTATCAGGAATACAACTTCTACTCGCACTTCCCAAGCATGTTGTTAAATATAAATTCTTTCCCTAACTACATTTTGAGATTTACTTCTTTATGTTGACATCACCTGAGGGTAACTTCCCAACGAATTTTCCATTTAATTTTCCATCATCTCCCCGACATCTTTAGCTCGGTCATTTTTCTCTCATGTGTCCACATAAAATTTTTTCCGTGCCGGCGTTTTCTCCAGACCCCATTTCAACATACCTATGCCCATGATGTAACTCATGACAGTTTCCGAGAAGCCGGCTTTGAGCAGGATCGGCGGAATGTACGCAAACCCAGCATTGGCACACAGCTCCAGTCCGCAAACAACGGCGTTTACGCAAATGAGGCGCCGGACGGAAACGGCGGACTTTTTCGGCGCCGCCGCCGTGGACACCAACGCAGAATAGCCCGTCATTTTGCACACCAATCACAGCGAATCTCTTATTCTCGTCATCAAAATTCAGCACTCGAATCGATCGTCAGCCCGGTTCACTGGTGGGATTCCGCTGTCGAATCCCATGTCGATTTCAACCGCATCCACGTCAGCAAAACGGGAAGTGCGACATCACGCGGTCTGTCATGTTATTCTGGGTCATCAGCATACGATTT